TAAGTAACATGGTAAATAATGTGATTATATATCTACTGTTTTAAAAGAGAACACATTAGTTTAATGTGAGTGACGGAACAAAATAGTTATAGTTTGGGGATTTTTTTATTACATACATTTGAAAGTTTATTTCCATTTTTTCTATAAAGGGAATTACAACTTTAACTCTCACTGCACATTTCAAAGTTCATATTAGTATTTTTGGTTATATGATATACATTAGAACCAAATTTTGGGAATCAATTAAGATTTTCACAAATATGAGTTTCATTTTAATTCATGTTTTTTCAAATGTTTGACATTTGAAAAGCTATAATATTCAATTACTAATTTCATCGTACAATTTGTTATTTTATTTTTCTTTAAGTAGTTTTCTTTACCTTCATTGGAATATTTTGGTTTCTATTTAGCGTGATTCAAGTTTAAATCTTATTATGACTTAGAATTCTGAAAAACTTAAAAGGCCTAACTCACCCGTTTAACACTGCTAGGGGCTTCCCCATATGTCAATCTTCATTTTATTGGGGGCAAATTACCAAAACCCCCCTGAGGTAAGCCTAAATAACGAAAATCCCCCTCACGTTCTCGTAATTACGAAAACCCCCCTTGACTAACGGTTGACCGAATTTTTTTAACCGAAAACGTGAAATGTCTATTATATCCTTCTGTTAAATATGTAAAAAATAGAGGGCAAATTACCAAAACCCCCCTGAGGTAAACCTAAATAACGAAAATCCCCCCTGACATCCCTTTCACTTGATGATTTATTGCTTTTATAAATTTATTTATTACTTTGTAATTTGTATTGATAATTTGATATTATAATTTTTTTATTTTTTTTATTTATATATTTTAATTGATTTTATTTATCCAGAGGAGTATTCATACGGATTTATGCTTTTAGCTTGAATGATGCATGGTTGTATTTCTCGAATTGTAAAATATTTAATTTTATATGTAAAAAATAATTAAATTTTGAAATCTCATCCATTGATTTTTTTAATCCAATAAAAATACATTGTACATTCATAATGATTGATTATATTTGGGTTTAATTTAAGAAAAATAAGTATTTTGTAGACACTTATATATTTCATGAAGAGTATATATTTATGACCCCCCTCATTAAATAAAATGCTTACAATTACCCCCCTAAGGGTAATTTCGTGTACAAGGGCAAAATTGGTATTATCGGAGGAATATTCGGGAGAATCAAAAAGATTCTATCGAGTTTAACACCGTTAGAGCGATTTGTAAGATGTCTGCATACCTCAGGGGGGTTTTCGTAATTACGAGAACGTGGAGGGGATTTTCGTTATTTAGGCTTACCTCAGGGGGGTTTTGGTAATTTGCCCTTTTATTGGAGATGCATTTGCCAAGAGGAAATGGAGCAGACGTTCAAATTTTGACTTCAACAAGCGCCTCAAGAGGTGAAGCATCAGTGGTCGAATTTTTAAACTCTTACAAATGCAAGCTATAATATTCAATTAGTAATTTCATAGTACAATTTTTCTTACGATTACTACAAACTTTTTACTACGATCACGACAATGGTAGTTTATAATTATTGTACTTTATGATTACGACTATGGGTATACAACTATAAACATTGGTTTATGGATGTTTGTATTTAGGTAATTTTATGTTACTACGAAATGCATTTAAATGAAATGTATTTTTGTATACGTATTTTTTAATCGGTTTTGTTAAGGAACTAAATAATGGTGTTCGTCAATTGCTCAAGTTGTAGAATACATGTATGGCACGTTTATTACTTTTTGATTTATTCAATATACTTCATTTCATTAACAATCAATCCATATTATGACGATTTAAGTTCATATAACTCTTTGTCAATTTAATTTTGCTAATATTTTTTTACTATATATTGTTCCATTACTATTTTTATTGATAACGTATTTAATTTTTTTTTTCAACTTTCAAAATACCATCCCCGTGCATCGTACGGGTGTATTACTAGTTATTAGTTAATTAAAGCCCTTTTAAATGATAAACATTACAATAAAAATCCACACACATAACGGTTAGGGCAAAAGAAACATATTACATTCAAACTATTACAATTGCCCCCTCATGAAATAATATTATTACAATTACCCCCATGGTACTATTGGATATATATTCCATGTAATAAAAAAGATTCTGTCAAATTCACACTTTAAGGCCGGGGGACTTTGTAGATGGCAACAGACTTCAGGGGTTTTTGGTAATTATAGATACATGAAGGCCTTCCTTTTTTTTTTTTTCTTTTCTTTTTCTGTCTTTTAATTTTTTTTCATTTTGAAATTGACCTTCATTCAGGGATTTCCCGTAATTTACCGTATACAATGCAAAATAAAAACATTTTTGATTATTAGAATACCAATTTGAACCTTTTCTTCTCATTCTCCAACTCCGTCACAGTAACTAAAGCAATCTCGAAATGAATTTCCGCCTTTTCATTTACAGTTGGGAAAGCGTTATTCAGCGGATTTCCGATTTCCTTTTTACAAGAAACGGGCACTTTACTTGCAACTTCCATAAGCATTCTTGCCGATGCGAAATCTCTTTTCCGTAACATAGTTTTCGCTTCGTTAATTTTCTTCTCCGCAAACATATAGTTGTGCCCACAATCCTCGTATTTTTCTTTGTCACGAATATCTTTCTTTATTTTGAGTATCATCTTTAGAATGTCGGCCGTTCTCTCTGCCTGGAATCTTGCTAATTCCAGGCAGGGTAACGCCAGGCTCCGAAGGGAAGAAACTCGATTAGTCGTGCGATTAATTTTCAGGATGTGAAAACAATTCATAGGATACTTTGTCTTTTTACATATATCGAAAAATAGCTTGTTTTTTGCGGCTTTCACACCGCAGCTTGTTTCGATGGTGATTAAAAGAGCGAGCACGACGATTTTAACGATGAATGAAGTAAAGGGCAATCCCATACTTCTTTTTTTTTCTTCTTTGCTTATTGTAATTATATGGCACTTGTTTAAATAAATTTAGGTGATGCACTAAATTTTTATCTTGTTCAAAAGCTTATTAATAATCCTTAGAGTCCCTTTAATTACTTGGCAACTTGTATAACTTCAGTTATAAATGCTCATATCTTGTCTTACAATAGAGAATTCCAATTTTCTAACCGCAATTAATGTCAGACTCATCAACAATATCATCTTGATTATTAGTAATAATCTTTTATTAAATTTGAAAGGGAGGGCGAAAAGGAAAAAAATAGAGACTCGTACTTAATTGGATTACGCTAAACCCTTTCTGTAAGGTAAAATTACCAAAAAGCCTCGACTGCAGTTAACAGAAAAATGTGTAAGGTCTATAATCTTCTTAGGCCCATTTTGGTTGGGCTGAGCCAGGTGGATAGTTCTTCTAATCCACTCGGTCTCAGCTTTGGTTCAGCCCAATCGGGTTCTGGATTGCACTTGGACCCGGGTCCGGATCATGGATTTACTGGATCTCCCATCAGGCAGAAGGAGGTGAGAGTGGGTAATCTCATCCAACACTCAGCCCAATCAACTACAGTATATTACTTTTATGCCCTGAATATTTATTTCTAAATATATATATATATATATATATATATATATATATATATATATATATATATATATATATATATATATATATATATATATACATATATATATATATACATATATATTATATATATATATATATATATAGATATGAATTACCCCAAAATTTATTTGTGTTAGCGCTAGAATTTTTCTGTCATAGCAATGCACCGCCGTTCTTCGTTCTTCTGCTTTCCTCCATTGTGGTCCGTGGTTTTTTCACGGAAGTATTTTTTCGTATAATCGACTCATCTAGGTTGTCTAATACGCTCCTTTCTTCGTTTTTTAGGCCCCTCCTAAACGGGAGTAATCACATATTGCTTCAAACGCATCCGAGTAAAATTGAAGAATTTTGGGTTGATATGGGTTTCGGTTTTTTTATTGTTCTAATTATCCAAAACCAAAACCGCCCTAATATTTTGGGTTGATATGGGTTTCGGTTTTTTTTATTAACTTAAATAAAAATACAACTAGTAAATAACCAAAACCGCCCTAATATATCATTAAATTACCAAGAAAACCCTATAGTATCTATAATTACTAAAAGCCCCTGGATTTGTTTCCCAGCTAACAAGTTCCCCTTATAAGGTTTTAAAAAAAAAAAAAAAGATTCGACTAATCCTTGAAGATTTCGACTGTGTCGGTGGATGGTCGACGTGGATAAATGGTTAATTATCGGTTAACCCCGATGTATTATTATGTAATTTATATTATAAGAGAATGAAAAATGTAATTTTTTTGAATTTCGTCGATTCCAATTAATATTTTTTTCGGACATATTTTTCCATTCCAAAATTTGAAGTTTCGATTTTCGATTTTTAAATTTTTTTGTAACAAGAATTGAATATACTATTCACTTCCAAAAAGATCATAATTATTAGTTAATTAATTATAAACATTACAATAAAACGGTTAGGGCGAAAGAAACATATTACATTCAAACTATTACAATTGCCCCCTTATGAAACAATATTATTACAATTATATTACCCCCGATGGTAGTATTGGATATATATTCCATGTAATGAAAAAGATTCTGTCAAATTCACACTGTAAGGCCGGGGGACTTCGTAGATGGCAACAAACTTCAGGTGTTTTTGGTAATTATAGATACGTGAGGGGCTTCCTTTTTTTCTTTTCTTTTTCTTTCTTTTAATTTTTTATTTTATTTTGAAATTGACCTTAACTCAAGGATTTCTCGTAATTTACCGTATATAATTCCTTAATTTCCTTCGATTTATGAAGTTTCTTATTTTTTTTAACCGACTTAATTGTAGATGTAGATTTACAAAAGATGTGAAGAAATATGATAGAAATAAAGACATAGATAGATATTAAATCACAAAATGATTCATCCACACTCCTATTAATTTATTTATAACATCATCATCATCATTATTTTTATATTTTCTCATGCATGCAAGAAACCTTGGTCAAATTTCGACCCGCCTTCCAACTCGTTCACTATAACGAAAGGAATGTCGAAAGCAATGTCGGGCATTTCATTTACTCGTTGACGAGCAATTGGTGATGGCGCTCCAACTAGTTCTCTCTGACAAGAAATCGGCACTTTATGCGCATCTTTTATATTCTTTCTTGCTAATGCATAATTATATACAATCCACCCTTTTTTTGCTTCGCCTAGCTTCCTCCCGGCCATCGTATAATTACCAAGACACCCTTTATATTTCTCCTTCTCATTCACCGAAATATATCTTTTATTATATGCTCTACTAAACAAGCTTACCGACATATTCGCTTGGGGTATTGCAATTCCGAGAGAGCCCAATCCGAGGGTATGAAGGGAAGAAGCGAGACGAGTCTTCTTATCAAGACTCAGAATATCGAAACATAGTGTAGGATTTTTTGTTTTCGGACAAATATCGGAAATCAGTTTATTGTTATTATTGTTTGTGGGTTTTGAGTTTGTTGTGATGCTGAGTAGACAGAGAAGGAAAATCTTTAGAATGAACATTGAAGCAAAGGGTAATTCCATTTTTTATTCTGATTGAACTTGTTTTGGTGCTTCAAATTAAATTCTTTATTAGAGCTCTTTATATTATATTTGCTAAACACATATCATTATTATTATTTGCTAAAGAAAATTAGGGTTTTGCCTCCATTTGTTATAGCCTAATCTTTATTATTTTGTTGTCAACTTCCATTTATTATTTTATGAATGCTTTAACATCCACTCTTGAATTTAAATGAGATTGAAGTAAATGTTAGTCCCATCAGTTTTCATTAATTCTTTGTAATATATATGGAGCTATATGCCAAACACCCTTCATTGGATTTTAATTCTTGATAAATTCTGTATTTATAAATGATATTTGAGATAAATTCAATGGGCCTGGAAAAACATATATGCCCCCACTAACTATTAATTAGTATAATTATTTAATTTAAACAAAATTATACACATAATCTACACCAAAATCTTCTCCAAAAATTATTCCCCTTATCACGCCAATTCAGTTTTTTTTCCTTTTCTTTTTTTATTTTGTTTAATGGTTTTTGATGCGGCTGGGTTTTTTCCGCTTCAAGGAATTCCTCCCAGCCGCATCAGTTCTCTTTATTTCGATTTAAAAGAAAATTTTGTAATTATTTTATTTTTATTTTCGGTTTTTTATTTTAATTTTTTTTCTTATTTATATTTTTCATATTTATATTTTTCATATTTTTTGGTTTAATTTAAAAAAATGGTTTTATTTTTATTTTCGTTTTTTTATGATTTTTCTTTTTTCTTAATTTCAATTTTTTTTTTAAATGGTTTTTTTTATTTTCTTTCCAGTTTTTTTAAATAAAAATCACTCTATATAAACATGAAAACCACTCTGTATCAACAACTATATAAACATGAAAACCACTATGTATAACAACTACTCCCTCCGTCCCAATTTAAATGACATTTTGGGTTGATGCACACATATTAAGAAAATCAATAAATGTGTATGAATTATAGTGAAAAACATAGGAAAATACTAATATATCTTTGATATTAATTATTTTAAAAATAGCTAATTAGGAGTGATAAAGGGTAAAATTGAAAATAGTGCAATTAATGATGCATTGAAAATTTAAAATGACAAATAATTTGGGACAAAAAAAACTCTCTAAAAAGACATATAATATGGGACAGAGGGAGTATATAACATGAAAACCACTATGTATAACAACTATGTAAACTTGAAAACTACTCTGTATAACAACTATGTCAACATAAAAACCAACAAAAATTATTGAAAACCACTATAAATTTGTTGAAAACCACTATAAATTTATCAAAGACGAAGCCTGACATTATGAAAATCACTCCGTATAAACAATATAAATATGAAAACCACTCTGTATAAAACAACTATATAAACATGAAAACCACTTTATATACACAACTATATAAACATCGAAAATTACTATGGATTCTAACAAGAAAACATCAAAAAATCTGCAAACAAGAAGCTATACAACCACTATAAAGGACACCATCTTCTCTCCAATGAACCCTAGAGCATAGTCTGTGTAATCATCTTCTTCTCGTTATTTGAAACATAAACCACTATTTAAAAAAATCATCATCTTCTTCATCCCATCAGCAATTTCATCAAAAAAATCATCAATAAAAAACACTTTATGTGTGTGTGTGTGTGCGCGCACAAGTGATGTAGCAAAAATACAATATTCTTTTACTGAACTAAACACAACCTTAACAAAATCAAAAAAAAAAAGGAAAATACAAAAAAATTAAAAGTTCTAGATATTTATTTAATTAATATACTTGTGGAATTGCGAGACTCGCAATTGTAACCCCAGAAACAACATCAGATTTCAACAATTCAAAACTATAATCCAGGCCCCACTGAAAAACCGGGAAGAAAAACTGTAGCCCGACTACCAACTTTCTGAACCGGGTCTGATCCATGAACCCATGAAGCGGGTCGTCCGGGAAGAAGATGTCTGCTAGGCGGCGCCGAAGTTTCTCCACGGTGGTCCTCAGCGGCAGAAGACATACTCTGTGTTGGGGTTTTTAATATGCGGAAGTGTGGTGTTAAGAAAGAACACCAAGAATTGGTGTAGAGATTTTTACTAAGTGAAGAATAATGGATTTACTTAAGAACAAGAGAGTTTTTAGGCTGGAAATTTTTAGTTTTTAGTTGTTATTACTGCTTTCTTGCTTGCTTACAAATTCCATCTTGGGTACAATTTGTAGGCTAGGAATGGATACAAAGAGACACTCCATTCCAAGTCCCAAGTTCTTAGGAAATGTAAAAGACTTAACAAATTACAAGAACCTTCTTGACTTCTACAAGTCAAGTCTTCATCTTTGAATGATGTTCCAACTTCATTATTGAAAATATGAATTACGATTTTCAACACCCCCTCTTAATTCATAATTTTCAGCTTCTTCTTGAACTTTTCAAACTTCTCGATTGTCACGGCTTTGGTAAGAAAATCAACAACTTGATCATTGGTGTTAACAAATCTCATTGAGATTTCTTCTTCTTCAACAAGATCACGTATGAAGTGATGTCGAAGCTCGATATGCTTGGACCTTGCATGAAAGACTGGATTTTTAGTCATTGCAATTGTAGACATGTTATCACAAAAGATAGTCGTAGCATGCACTTGTTTTTCTTGCAAATCCGAAAGAATTCTCCTAAGCCAAACGGCTTCACAAGCGGCATCCGCCGCGGCAATATACTCGGCTTCACTTAAAGATAAAGCTACCGTCTTTCGCTTCTTAGAACTCCATGCAATCACCTTCGAACCAAGAGAGAAAACATAGCCCGAAGTGCTTTTTCGATCATCCAAACAACCTGCCCAATCACTATCCGTGAAACCGATCAAGGCATTATTTTCTTCTTTTTCGTACTTCAACCCTTGCTTCTTTGTTCCTTGAAGGTATCGAAGGATCCTCTTTGCCGCTGCAAAATGAAGCTTGCTTGGCTCACTCATATACCGCGAAACATAGCTAACGGAGTGCACTATGTCGGGTCTTGTGTTTGTTAGATAGATAAGCGAACCAACAAGACTTCGATATATTTTTGAATCAATTTTTTCAGCTCCATCGTCTTGTCGCAACTTCTCATTCACCGCCAAAGGTGTTGCCACGGGTTTGCAATTTTCCATCTTGAATTTTTTTAACAAATCATCAACGTATTTTTCTTGAGAAATAAAAATCTCTCCGTCGGATTGTTTTACTTGAATTCCAAGAAAATATTTCATGAGTCCCAAATCAAACATCTCAAATTCTTGCATCATATTTTTCTTGATTCCTTCACCATTTTCACGTTAGTATCAAGATAACAACTTCTCAGAAATCGACGTATGCAGTCCCT